ATCCATCCATCCATCCATCCATCCATCCATCCATCCATCCATCCATCCATCCATCCATCCATCCATCCATCCATCCATCCATCCATCCATCCATCCATCCATCCATCCATCCATCCATCCATCCATCCATCCATCCATCCATCCATCCATCCATCCATCCATCCATCCATCCATCCATCCATCCATCCATCCATCCATCCATCCATCCATCCATCCATCCATCCATCCATCCATCCATCCATCCATCCATCCATCCATCCATCTGTAACTTCCTCGCATCGTCCGTCGTCTTCTTTGGCACTTTAACACCACCTAAATCACTTTCATTTATAATCCAAACTTTTTTCTCCATTCTAACCATCATCATCATCATCATCATCATCTTCTTCATCATTTTCTTCATCATCATCGTCTCCGTCATCATTACCAAGACGCCACAAATGTCCCCACAATCCAACCGGACTGCCCAAAACTACTGAGCCATGCACATTCTCCGAGTACAACAATCAGTACTTGCCCCACCCGCTAGAGGCCACCAGAAGCTACAAGCCCGAGGTCAAAGTTCACACAAACTCAGGGCCCATGGACGATCTGACCACGCATAAGTTTGTCTTTTGCTTTTGCTTTGCAGTTAGTATTCCCGTTGATGTAATAATTGTCGTCATCATCATCGTCATCTTCATCATCTTCTTCTTCTTCTTCATCATCGTCATCTTCATCATCATCATCATCAGAGTGGATTACGTTCCGCATGCAGTAGCGGAAAAAATTCAGCCAGTGAAGGAGAAGTACCAGGCACCAGAGGGCGACATGGACCTGATGACCAACTACTCCAAAGAATATACAGGTAGGTAGGTAGGTAGGTAATAGCAATAATAATAATAATAATAATAATAATAATAATAATAATGAGGATGATGATGATGATGATGATGATAATAATAATAATAATAATGATGATGATGATGATGAATAGAGAAGCCCTTGCAGCCGTTGAAAGCGAGCCGGCCTGCAGTGTACAGGAAGGCAGCTGGAAAGTTTGAAGCCGAACCGACGTACGCAGGTTGGCCCCTCCCTCCCCCTCCCTCTCTCTTGTCTGTCTCAATTAAGTTTCAATTATTTTCATTTTCAAATAAATCTCTGTCCTGGCGTTTTATGAAATTTTACTGATTTAAAGTAAAAATTGTCTTAAATTGGCGTGAAAGTCTTTATAAATTAAATTTCGAGAGATGCACCTCTTAAAATACTTGCTTCGAATCATCACAAAGCTGATTACCGCGAGTGGGAAATGCAACCGAGAGAGCGAGCCAAAGGAGAACCGAATCTATACCGACCACCCGACCAGCCCTTCGATGCCAGCACCAACTATCAGAACGAGTTTTTACCGAAACGAGTCGAGCCGAGAAAGAATATGAAACCGATGGAATCGAATGTGCTGCCGGACCAACCATTCGACGGCGATACACATTATAAGCAGGTTGGAGGGCCCTCGAGAGAGATGAAGGAGGGAGAAGAGGAGGGCGAGAAAATTCATTGCGAAAATGAAGATGATGGTTTTTGTATCCACTTTTCATTTTCATCTTTACACTTTTTTTCTCACACACACACGCACACACGCACACATACACACACGCACGCACGCACACACGCACATACGCACACACACAGGACTACATCCAACACCCTCTGGCCATTCGCGAGGTGAAGGACAAACCGACGTGGAAGCCCAACGACGCCCCCCTAGATGACTTGTCCCACTACAAAAAAGATTTCACACCGAAGGCGGCCGATCGGGCCAACAACTTCAAACCCGAGTCGAACCCCTACAAGTCGGAGGCCCCGTTCGATGGAGACACTACCCAGAAAGTAAGTCTTCATTTTATGTAAGTGAGGAATAGGACAAGGAGCTAGGCAGAAGTTTATCGCGTCAGTGAATACTCTGAAAAAAGTTAAATTTAAATTAGGAGTTATCTTTAAATACAGTTAAATTGTTTGCTGACAATTTTATCCTAATTAAATTAAATAGATACTATGTGGGGAGAAAGTTTCCACAGAGTGGAACCACACCCCAGTACCAATGCAATATCATTAACACGTTCAAAATATCATTCGCAAGTTCAACAAATCTGAAAGGATTTAATTTAAACAACTAACATACAGACGAATAAATAATATAAAAATTTTAATTATAACAACTATAATTAATAATTATGAACGATAATTACTTTCATAATATCACGAAAAGACTGATTATGTGCCATGGGCAGTGGAGAGAAGAGATCAACCGAGAGAGAGAGAGGCTTACAAAAAGCCAGACGGTGATTTCGACCACCTGACTACAACCCAACTGGACTACATACCTAAGGCATTTGAGAAGTAATTACATTAATTATGGCATTACTTCATTTTATTGTCAATTTATTTTATTTTATTTATTTGATATTATGATGTTTAATAGTATAATTAATTATGATTCTATGATGTTTAATATTATAACTAATTATGATTTTACGATGTTTGTTATTATAATTAATTATGATTTGTAATTATTCTGAAAGGCAGGTTTACAGGAAACCGATCGAAGCTATGAAACCGACCGGCAGATTCGACGACACCACCAATTATAAGGTCTGGGATCGTCGGCCTCAACTGTATTTGAAAAATAAATTATACATTAATTAATTGAATATGCAAATAAAAGGATATACTAACTCATAGGAGAGAGAGAAGAAAACACACACACACAGACACAGACACTCACAAACACACACAAACACACACACACCACACACACACAAACACACAGTCGGAGTATTTGCAATGGAAACCATCGAGTGCAAGCAGGCCAGTTCAGAGGCCCAAGGAGGAGTACGTTCCGAACGAAGCACCATTCGACGGTCTGCCCATTTACCAGGTTAGGGCGAAAACCATCCCCCCCCCACACATCAAATACACACACCCACACACACACACACACACACACACACACACACACGCACGCACACAGTCAGACTATCAACGTCACAATGGAGCAATGGCGGCCCGCAGTTTGAAGCCAGCAATCAGCGAATACACTCTAGATAAGGGCCCAATGGAAGATTGGACGGAATATAAAAAGGAATTTTACAAAAAAGAGGCCCCCTTATGTCCCGCGGCCCTCCTGGCCGTAGGGAGGGAGCACACCCCATACAAGTTCATGCACTCAGACGATGACGGTCACAAATGGTTTGAAATGCCGAACTTTCCCAGAGGACAATTGGGCTTGACCGGCAAATCTGGCTCAGCCACTTACATTGTGGGAGCTAGATAAATAGAGAAAGAGAGAGAGGGAGAGAGAGAGAGGGAGAAAGAGAGGGGGGAGAGAGAGATTGATGACGATGACTGCATTTGCAAAGATAACGATGTAGATTAACGAAAAAAAAATTGATAGTGATGATGAATGAGCTTCTAAAGAGCTGATGACGGTGACGACGATGAAGACGATTGTGACAATGAAAAGCTAATAACCAGATAAAACGCTGATGATGATGATGATGATGATGATATTTATATTAGTTTTTATGGAGACAACTTTTCGACAAGGATTGCATTTGATCTTCAGATTGTCATTGCACCTGAGTTTTTAACATATGTACATTCATTTATTTCTTATTTCTCTCTCTCTTTCTCTCTCTCTCTCTCTCTCTTTCTTATTATATATATATATATTCATTTCAATCCCTAATTCCCCAGCACGTTTTGATGTTATTGTTGTAGATTGTTACGATTTGTTGAATAATGAAGAGTTTCATCATCGAGTTTCGGGCTTACTTTTACTTGAAATTGAACCGTAGAAGTAGTTGTTGAGTATTTGTAGTAGCAGTAGCAGTAGTAGCATTTGTAGTAGTAATAGTAGTAGTGGCAGCAGTAGCAGTAGTAGTAGCATCTGTAGTAGTAGCAACAGTAGTAGTAGTAGTAGCATCTGTAGTAGTAGTAGTAGCAGTAGTAGTAGTAGTAGTAGTAGTAGAAGCAGTATTTTAAAATTTATTTACCAAAAAAAATTCAGAAAAAAAAATGTTGAAACTCAAAAATTGTTTTTGTAAAAAACCGTCGAGAGTAACTCCTGCCAACAACAGCAACATCGCTGGGAACATCTTCAACATAACCAACAGCAGTTTCGTCTATATAAATAACAACAACAACGACGACGATGATGACGTCACCATAAACATAAACAACAACATCATCAACAACAACAATCTAGCTAAAAATTTCAAAAATGATGCTGACGATGGTAACATTTATACTATAGATCGCGCGCTAACAAATGAAATAATAAAGTCATCTTCATTACCACCAGCCGCATCTGTAGCAGCTGCATTAGCCACAAAAACGTCATCTTCGTCGTCGTCGTCACATCAGCAAATCGAGAAATCGCTAACCACGAAAATATATTCATCACCTCCTATTGAGAATTACAGATTCCTGACAACTAAATCAACTCAACAACAACATCCTCATCATCATCAAAATCATCAGCAACAACAACAACATCATTATCAGCAACAACAACAACAACAACATCATCATCACCACCAACAACATCATCATCATCATTTACCGAAAACATTCAAAGCAGCATCGATGACGTTGAGCTTGATTCTCATTCTCCTATTCGCTAACGAGTTTTGTTTTTCAGTGTATTTTCTAAATGTTACTACTACTACTACTGCTTCTGCTACTACTACTACTACTACTACTACTACTACTGCTACTACTATTATTACTACTACAACTTCTACATCTACTACTGCTGCCACTGCAGTTGCTGCATCTACTTCTACTGCTGCTACTACTACTACTACTAGTACTACTATTACTACTACAACTTCTACATCTACTACTGCTGCCACTGCAGTTGCTGCATCTACTTCTACTGCTGCTACTACTACTACTACTAGTACTACTATTACTACTACAACTTCTACATCTACTACTGCTGCCACTGCAGTTGCTGCATCTACTACTACTGCTACTACTACTACTGCTGCTACTGCTACTACTACTACTAACAATAATATACTCCTATACACATCAACAACTTTGTCAATGTTCATCATCCTGTTGAGTTTATCGTTACTAATGGTTCGTTTGGCTGGTTGCCAGTTTGGCTATAACAAAAAATAACAATAATTATTATTGTTATTATTATTATTGTTATAATTATTATTGTTATTATTATTATTATTATGATACTTGTTGCAATTTTAAACGTGAAGTTTTTTGAATTACGATAGATCAACAAAGTTAAAAGTCGAAAAAATGGCAACAAAAACAAAAACAACAACAATAACAACATCAACATCAACAACAACAACAACATCATCATCAACAACAACAACAATATTAAAAATAATAATAATAACAATAATTACGTCATAATTATCAACCACGTGATCTACATTTTAATAACTATCACAATGGCGATCGTCATGGTCTTACACGGCGTTTCGACATTTGAAGAGGACTCCAACAACAACAACAACAACAACAACAAAAACAACAACAACAACAACAGTGCTAATAATTATCATATTAATAATTATAATTGTAACGACTTTAAAAATTATAGCAAAATATGCAGTAATAATGATAATAATAATAATAGTAATAATAATAATATGGCCATCGTAATGATTTTATTATTGACATCTTTTTCATCTTGTATATGTCACTGGTGGTTGCTCGCCACGGACTTACTCGCTATCCTTCATCTGGCGACGATCCTGGCGACAAAATGGGATAACGGGACATCTCTATTGGAAGAGGTTTAGATACTGATAATGATGATGATGGTGGTGGTGGTAGTGATGATGGTGGTTGTGTTGATGATGATGGTGATGAAGTTGAAGACGATCCATATTTTTATTCATACATACGTCAATTTTCGAATATTCATCCATTCATTCGTTTGTTCATTCATTCATTCATTCATTCATTCATTCATTCATTCATTCATTCATTCATCCATCCATCCATTCATCCATTCATTCATTCATTCCTTCACTCATCATTTCACAGGTGATGTGCGTAATATTAATCGTCTGCGGTTTCAACCTGCTATCGATTACAAACCGGTATTTCGTCGGCCACTACCTGTCGATTACTTTCAACTCGTCTCTCAAGTACTCGAGAAAACTTGAAAAAATTGAAACCGATTTTAAGAAACAGGTTGTAGAAATAAAATAATAATAATGATAAAACAATAATAAAATAATAATAATAATAACAATAAAATAATGATAGTAAATGTATTTATTTTTATTAGGAGCATCTCTTGTTTTCCCTACTGCCCAATCATATTGCAATGGAAATGAAAAAAGAAATGAGTCATCCTCATCATCCTCATCATCTTCATCATCATCATCAGCAGCAGCAGCAGCAGCAGCTTGGTATTTTAGACTTCAGCCACCGACCTTTTCAGAGGATGTTATTACAAAAATATGACCCCGTCAGGTGATATTAATAATAATATAAATAATATAAATAATAGTAAAATTAATAATAACAAAACAACTAATACTAAGAATAATAATAACAACAATGAACCTCACAGTATAATATTCGCCGATATTTGCGGTTTTACGGTTCTGAGTGGCCAATGCACAGCCATAGAACTCGTCGGAATTCTCGGAGAACTATTCGCCAGATTCGACCGACTCGCTTCGACACATCACTGTTTGAGGGTGAAAATTCTAGGGGACTGTTATCAGGGAGTATGTGGGCTGCCAGCGGAAAGGGAAGACCACGCAATCTTGGCCGTAAGAATGGCACTGGACATAATCGATACTATGAGGTCGGTAGTCGGTCGGTCGGTTTTTGTCGAATGATGGAGTTGAATCGGTTCTGGATGAATTGCCAAATCTTGGATTGAAAAATTGAAAAGTTTAAATGGATAATTTGCGACTGAATAGTATTTAGTTAATTCAAACAAGTTGAACCACCCCATGACTAGGAATCATTCACAAACATCCAACACACAAAAACTCAAAATTAGACTCGTCCGAAACATTACGAATGTCCGAGAACTGAACATGAGAATAGGCATACATACTGGACGAGTTCACTGTGGAGTTCTAGGGGTGGTCAGGTTGCAATTCGACGTCTGGTCCAACGATGTTATCATCGCTAATAAAATGGAATCATCCGGGGAGCCAGGGTGAGCTACAATTTCGAGAAAAAATATATTATAATATCATTAATATAAATAATACAAATAATAATAATAATAATAATTGCAAAGTTTATTACAAATAATAATGATAATAATTGCAAATCTTATTACAAAAAATAATAATAATAATTGTAAATAAAAATAATAATAATTGCAAATCTTATCTTCCAGACGAGTCCATGTTTCCGAGAAGACTTTGGAGTGCCTGAGAGATATGTACGCTGTGGAGAGGGGAGAGGATTTTATTATAAATAATATAAATAATAATGATAACAATAACAACAATAACAATAATAATAATTTTAGTGATGGTAATGATCGCGATGTTCTCAGAACGTACTTTGTTCTTCACGAAAATGAAAATAATTCTAATATTATTAATAATAATAAACATGAAAATACTGATAGAAATATTAATAATAATGATAATAATAATAATAATAATATAAATAATAATAATAACAATAGATCAGTACTCAAGCCATCGCCATCATCCTCATCACAGTTCCCATCACAAACTTCATCCAGTGTTTCATCGTCATCATCATCATCGTCGTCATCATTATTATCTTCCATATTTCTAGCATCATCATCAGCATCATCATCAGCATCATCATCATCGTCGTCGTCGTTCCATGCATACCTTCCTAGACTGTGCAAAGCCGCCACTACTACTACAAAAGTGTATATGAACTTCAAATGCCAAAATGTTTTTTGTTATAGTTAAAATAAAATTAAATAAAACAACCAATGATAACAATTATTATTATTATAATTAATCAGTTTATACCCTAAGTTATTGTTCATTAAAAAATCATTATCATCTCAATCACCGACACCAACAGTTTCGAAAGAGCTTGACCAGAAACCTATCTGAGCACCATGCTAAAGAACATTTATATTTCTGCTCCATTATCACCATACTGTTCACACTGATAATGCATTCTATTATCACCAACGGGTTGGTTTGCCATAGATAAGATATATATATATATATATATATATATATATATATATATATATATATATATATATATATATATAAACTGATATGTAACATTATAACAGGAAGAAGATGATGGTGACGTCTTTATGGCTAATAATAATGATTATATCAATACTTCCGGTGTTACTATTCAAATTTCAACGTTTGTTTGGCCAAAGATTACAAATAATGATAAAACTCATCAGCAGGTATTTAAATTATTTTGCTGCCATTTTGGTTCTAGCCACAAGTCTACTGCATGTTACCTGTCTGGTTAGTTTTGAAGTTTTAACGATTGCTTATACACTGCACGTAAGATTTTTATTCATTTTATTTTAAAATGCACATTACAACAACATTTCGTCTAGACTTTCAACAACTACACCTTTTATTTTTTTCCAAATTATTAAGATGTTATATCTGAGAAATTAGAGTTATTTGATCAAATGTGACGTTGAAAACCTATCAGGCTCACAAAACCAAAAAAAGGCTTGAAATCAGGTCAAAAAGTAATGCAAAACTTGAAAATGAGTAAGAAAATGAGAGTCAGATTTTGAAACTTTAAGGCTCAATATCTCGGAAACTACTGGTCAGAGATGGAACGACATTTTTTTGGCAAAGAACCTTTAATGAGGAAAACAAAAGTGAGGAGACGAACATTTTAAGGGGTCCAGCGTCGAAATCGGTCAAGGTTCATTTCCGCTCCAATTTTTTTTCATCTCGTGGCATTCATCTATTTATACTGTCATCTATCGAATGAAAATTATTAAAAAAAATCAAAAGCCAAACTTTTTAATTTTTATTTTTTAACAATTTATTTAACAGAAAAAAAATCTTTTTTTTTGAAAAAAAATAAAACCAGTTTTAAAAAATAACTATTTAATTGTCAATAAATGGATGTTCTTTCACTAACAAAAGTTTTGTTAAGCGCTACAACATTAAATGCTCATGACATAAAGTAAACAAAAACACCTCCTAATTTCACTAATTGATGAATAAAAATAAGTTTCGGAAAAAATTTATTTAAATATTTAGTTTTTTAATTTTTTTTTGTTAAAAAATCTTATTTAAAAAAATTCACTTCACAAGTTTAAATGACAAAATTGATGGTGAAATATTTTCCAAATTTTGGGCTTTTTTGTTTACAGTTTGTCACAAATATTATAGCGCTACATTGACAAAAAAAAATACTTTCAGTTTACTTTCTGCTTTAAAATTCTAAATTAAATTTAAATATTTTATTTAATTGTATTATTTTTTAAAAATAAAAACATTTTAATCTATCATTTAAATTAATTAAATAATAAATTTGAACTTTTGATTCAAACTTTAAAAACAGTTTTCATTCATTCGATAGATGTCAGTGGAAAGAGATAAATGCCGTAAGCTAAAAAAAATTGGTGGTAGATTTTGGCCAAAATGAACCTTGACCGATTTCAACGCTGGACCCCTCAAAATGTTTGTCTCCTCACTTTTGTTTTCTTCATTAAAGCTTCTTTGCCGAAAAAAAAGTCGTTCCAATTCTGATCAGTAGTTTCCGAGATATTGGGCCTCAAAGTTTCCAAAATCTGACTCACACTTTTCCACCTGTTTTTCATGTTTTTTCAAAATTTTCACGGGTTTTTCGAGGTGACTGATCGCCTTCTGGGTCCATGTTGATTACCGAACTAATAAAAGGGATGATGATGCTGGTGGTAGTGATCATGATGATGATGATAATGTAGAAGATTTGTATGTGTAAAGTTGTTATACGTACATAAATGTATGTATGTATGAATATACTCCATTTATTCATCCATCAACATTTAATTTACTTCTTAATTTTATTTAGAATTTTTTCATTTTTTAAAGTTTCAAATGATGAATGGCATTTCTTCGACAAATGATGGCTTCCAATCATTTGAAGTGCGTCATCAAACAAATTAATTACATTTTTATTAAGTTTTTGTCATTATTATTATTAGCATTATTATTATCATCAGCCGTATCATTATCACTTTCTAACCAGGCGGAATATACCATGTACTCTCTCCAGCTCATCATCTCGCCGCTTGTAGTCATGATCATTTTCAATACCCTCACATCGTCATTATCTCTAGTGTTAGCTACAGCCATTCTCGCCGTTACAATCGCAGTTTTATTATCACTACATTCATATAATTGTAACCATAATAACAACAACAATAATAATAATAATCACGTGACGATCACGTGGTGCATCACGAGGTATGTTACGTCATCGTACGTCATAATATTTGCCACGGTAATTGTGATGTTGGTGTTGCTAGATGCATTCGTAAACGGATGCCACTACGATTACATGAATGAAGTTAGTGGATTGATGGATGAAAAAACGATTGATTGAATGAATGAATGAATGAATGAATGAATGAATGAATGAATGAATGAGTGAGTGAATGAACGAATAAATTAATGAATAATGCATTCATCACACCAAAAGTCACGACAGAGAAAAGATGAAATGTTAAGGAAAAAATCTTTCAACAAGAGATTACTCTACAACATGCTACCGAAGCGAGTGGCTCAGCACTACTTCAACATCTTCAGAAGCGGCAACAACTTGAAATTAACTGAGGTACGTACTCCTCTATTTGGAGATTTCTGGGTGAATAAAAATAAGAGAACGAACGAACGAACAAATGAACGAACGAACGAATGAGTGAATGATAATATTCCCAAAAATTCTCATCTCCAAGGATCTGTATAGCGAGGACTGCAGCAGGGCGTGTGTCCTATTTGCAACGGTTTTCAATTTCTTTGACACATTTTACGTTGAAGACTTCAAAGAGGGCATTGAATGTCTGAGAGTTCTCAATGAAATCATTTGTGATTTTGATGAAGTTTGTGTTTAAACTAGTGTGTTAGTGCGTGTGTGCGTGCGTGTGTGTGCGTGTGTGTGTCTGTAATATATAATATCTTATAAGCTATAATGTTACATACTTCAAAATGTCTTGTTTGTTAGTAATCGATTTTGAGATTAGTTCGATATTACGAATTCTTTATCAGTTGATTATTGAGAGCAAAAGGTTCCAGAAGTACATCGAGAAGATTAAAACAACTGGCTCAACGTATATGGCTGTTTCCGGTTTGAAAAGAAGTGATGACGATGATGATGATGATGACGATGATGGTGATGTTAAAAGTTCGAAAGGCTCAGATAACAACAACATCAACAAAAACAATAATAACAATAATAATAAGGACGGTGACGATGATGATTATGTGTTGGTCATGGCTGAATTCGCGTGTTCAATTTTGCAGAGGTTGCAAGACTTCAACAAACATTCGTTCAATAACTTCCAAATGAGGATAGGTTGGTTGATTGCCGTGTATTTATATCTAATAATATCAACAATTAATACTTTTACGATCGTAATGACAACGAGATGTTAATTAATTAATTAATTAATTAATTAAATCAATTAATAAATTAATTACAATTTGATACTTCTTACTGCATGAATGAGTCTGGGCCCGGTGGTAGCGGGGGTCATAGGAATGAGCCGCCCCCAGTTCGACGTCTGGGGAAATACCGTGAATGTGGCAAGTCGTATGGAAAGCTGTGGAGTGGCCGGCCGTCTTCAGGTGCTCGTCTCTGCAGTTTTCCTCTTTCTACTTCGCAGTTTTAACACCTTGGGAAACTTTCAAAGTTTTTTCAAACCGTTGGCCTGTCATGAGTCGTTCACCGTCTTCATCGTCAAAATCATCATCATCACCATCATCATCACCACCGACATCATCACGATCATCATCATCACCACCACTACCACCGTCACCGTCATCATCATCATCACGGACATTCCAGATGACCAGGGAAGTGTACAACATCCTTTCACGTCACAACTACAATCTGACCTGCCGTGGAAACATCGAGGTCAAGGGGAAAGGTCAAATAATGACCTACTTACTGGACAACCGAACGTGATGATGATGATGACGATGATGAGGGTGATGGGGTGGGGTGGGTGACTGCAGACTGCAACGATTCAAATGAATGTTCGGCACATAAAGAAGTATTTCAATAAAATGATGCTATTTGGTGCACTGGTAACTCGAAACCGACTCCTTCAAACATTCAATGCTATTTTTCGGGAATGTAGCACTGGGGTAAGATTACCGGGAAGTATTTTAATAAAAGATGGTTAAATAATTATTGTTACTTTTGAATTTAAATGCGAGTTTTGTGGAATAAATTTCTCCCTAATATTGTTGAAAATGTGTTATATTTGTTATTCGTGTCCTTTTATTACCGTTCATTTGACTTGCTCGGCTTATCGTCTCACTTATGAAATTGCCTTGCTCCTAACGAACAAGCTACATGAAATATTGACTTATTGTGTTTAAAACAATATTATAATTAAATTGAATCATGTATTTTAAAATTATTTTTGCTAATTTAAATATAAAAACTGCATTTTATACTGTGAAATACAGTGGCTTACACTTGAGCCAGAGGTTGGTTTACTGGGATTGAGCTATAGCCACCCCTTTTTTCTTATTCGATCACGTTAAGCTTGGGTCGTTCTTTTAACGAAATAAACCTAAACAGCGTAAATAATTCCCAATAGTTACTGTAGCAAGTACCCTCATTATGTTCAGTAAATATTTTACACTCTGGTACTCATGATGGGGAGTCGACTGCACATGAACAGGAGGAAAATAGTTGCTGAAATATCAATTTTGAATGATTTACGCAGTTTATTTCGTAAAAGAATTAATAGAAGCTTAACGAAATCGAATATTTCTAATTTTAAATTAGTTTATTTAATATTATAAGTAGTAATTACTAATTATATATATTAGTGCTGGTTTTTTAATGATATTAGTAGTAAATTTTAAATAATGGTACAGTTTCAAGATATATTCGTTGGTTTTTTGATTGATTGATTGATTGTTTGGTCAATTCGTTTGAATCAGCAGTTGATTGGCTGGTTAATTGATAGTACAGTATCCTATTGAACAGGATAGTATCATAAAATGGAATAAATTAATTTCATCAACATTTTAGTGCGATTTCGATGATGATGATTGTGACCTGACTGATAAAAAAAACATCTAAAAAAAACTATTAAAATAGGATGGGCAATTTGTTAAGAAATCGTTGGAGAAAATGACGTCATCCTAGCAGCAGTTATTCAACAGCCCGCTAGTGAGTTAGCCTGCTTGAAGGTTATATTCGATTCCTGTCAGGCAGATTTCGCCAAACATCACGTGCACACAAAACTAAATACAGAAATATATAAATAGATTCCTGTGTGGTTATTAAGTAAGGAGTGGTCTCAAATTATTTTGATAGCTCCCATAGAAATTCAATAATGAATAAATATACAGGAAGTAACGATAATTTATATTTTATATGTTTTTATAAGAAGCATTATACATAGAAGATCAGGCCAGCCAATCAGAGAGCTTCTATGGCGTTACCTGCTTGGAGTCAATTTAGCTTGGTTAGCAATGTTGTTAAGAATGTATAGTGGTGTATTGCATACATGAAATAAGCTTTTCACTGATGTGAATGGTTGAAGTGATGAGGATGTATGGCTCAAACGAGTATAAAAAGGAGCTGAGAAAGCGTTGAAATCAGATCAGGCATTCTGCCTCGCTCGAGTCGGAGTGCCTGATCTCATTTTTTTATATTTATTTTTTTTAATTTATTTATTTTAATTTTATTTTATTATATAGAGTTATATAGAGTTTGCATGTCTGTGGTTTGTATGTTGTATTTTTTTATATTTTAGGTGGGTTCTTTAGCGGTTGCTCATACATACATACATACATCATGTTTGTTTGTGTGGTAATGTTTTATGTTCTGTTTTACTTCGTTTTCTCTTTCTTTATGAGTCTTGAGTTAAGTTAATGAAACATAGGTAGGTGAGATTGAGATTAATTTATTATATAGGTAGGCTAGGGCATAAGGTAATTTAGTTACATAGGTAGGTTAGGGACTTCTATTCTTTTACTCTACTTGGTGGTGTGTTTTTGTTTGTTTTGTTTCACACCATACATATAACAGGTACGCGGTGGTTCCTGGTTTTAGTGGGTTTTTTATTGATTGAATGTGGTAGTATGCATGGTTATATAGAGTTATATAGAGTTATATAGAGTTATATAGAGTTATATAGAGTTATATAGAGTTATATAGAGTTATATAGAGTTATATAGAGTTATATAGAGTTATATAGAGTTATATAGAGTTATATAGAGTTATATAGAGTTATATAGAGTTATATAGAGTTATATAGAGTTATATAGAGTTATATAGAGTTATATAGAGTTATATAGAGTTATATAGAGTTATATAGAGTTATATAGAGTTATATAGAGTTATATAGAGTTATATAGAGTTATATAGAGTTATATAGAGTTATATAGAGTTATATAGAGTTATATAGAGTTATATAGAGTTATATAGAGTTATATAGAGTTATATAGAGTTATATAGAGTTATATAGAGTTATATAGAGTTATATAGAGTTATATAGAGCATAAATCCTATATAGATACCTTTCTTTGAGGTTCTTTTCTTTGCCGACCGGTCGGCTTCTTTGCGTTTCTCTATTTTCATTTAAATTAATTAAATAAGATTTGTCAATTCATCTAGGTTCATTCAGGTTCATTCATTCAGGTTGAAGCTTCCAGAGGAGTTCATCGTGGAAGATCAGAATGGTGTGATGTCACGCTACGTTCGTTCATTCAGTGGCAAACAATGCACGCCTGACTGGGGTTCGTTTTACGGTTTCTTTGCGGTTCCTTTTTTTGCCAGTTACTGGGTGTTGCGGCTGGCGGGTTTCACCGCGGCTCGTTTTTCTACTTTCATTTAAATAAAAATAAATAAAATTTTTTCATTTTATTCATTTCATTCAGGTTGAAGTTTCCAGAGGAGTTCATCATGGAAGATGTCAGGCTACGTTCATTCATTCATTCAGTGGCAAAGACACGCCGGGCTGGGATACGTTTTATTCTTTTTTCTCTGTTTTTCTCTCTAATTTAACATTAAGTAAGAATGCATACACGCACACACATACACACACAATTACATTAAGTAGCTATATAGGTAGGTTAGATAGGCATGATTTTAATTCTAGGTAGGATAGATAGGAAGCATCCAACACTAATGTAGTTGAATAGGTAGGCGCGTAAGTTTATCTTTTATTTTTTCTTGCACCAACATTACACGCACCAGCGTATTACACACACACAAATACATACATAAACACATATGTTAGTATTTGAGCGTAATTTTATTTCCATTACACATTCTAATTTATTATTACTAAGGTCGAGAGTAATTTAATTTCATAGGTAGTTAAGGGCAATAATGTAATTCTAGGAACAATCTTTTAATGTAAATTAAAACGCTGTAAGTGTATCGATAGGTAGGCTAATATAAGTTTTACATTATTATTATTATGTTGGAGCCCAAGGCATTACGTAGGTGGTGGGGTGGGCGCCGATTGGCTAAATGAATTGGGCTCTTGAGTTTTGTAATTTTAGGTAAGCTAGGCGTATGTATGAATAGGTAAGTTAAGGCTACGTTGTAACACATACTCATTAATGGATTTAGGGTTTAAGTTTTATATTATTATTACTAAGTTGGAGCCCAAGGCATTACGTAGGTGGTGGGGTGGGTGCCGATTGGCTAAATGAATTGGGCTCTTGAGTTTTGTAATTTTAGGTAAGCTAGGGCTTAATTGTAATGAATAGGTAAGTTGAGGGTACGATAGCCGATTGACTCTGGATTTCAAAGTCTCTTGTCAGAGGTAAGCCTTGGTGGCCAGTGGTGAACCGGCAATGGTTTACTATCCGGACGGCAATGGTTTACTATTTGCACGGTAATGATTTACCATGCGGCATGGCCATAGTCTACTACCCGCACGGCTTCCGGACGGCAAATGGTTTACTATCCGCACGGCAATAGTCTACTATCCGCACGGCAATGGTTTACTATCCGGTGCCCTGGCTATCGGTGAACCTCTGTGCAAGGAGGGAGAATGAAGGGGGACTTTCGACTATCGTACCATTAATAATTTAATATAGATTAGTTAAGGTAATTGAATAGGTAGATAGGATTATTTTTATTAAGCAATTTGAGATGCAGGCACCGCTAAGCTTTCTGATAAGAATCTTTCCTTTATTTTTCTTCCTCAACACGGGCTGTGTTTCAACAACAATCTCGGGAGGACTGGAGGACAACGTAGGAACCGGACCAAATTCAACATTCTGCCTTTGTCGAATGGACGACGGTAAGTTTTTTTACATTTTACTCTCTTTATTATTTTAAAATATTATTTATTTGCCATTATTTTCATTTTATAATTTTTTGCTTCTATGATTCTAACATTAATTTTCTACTTACGCTAATAAAAAAATTTTGTCTACAGAATGATGAGAGGTGGGCAGTGGTGGGCGTCAGCACGTTTCAGATGGTGGTCTAATGATTATTTACGTATGATGATGGTGGTGTAAGAAGAATCAGCGCGTTGGCTGTTTGACTGACACTCAGAAGTTCGGATGACATCTTGTGTGCCGACCAGATGATGGTGGTCGGTGCAATGGATTACAGTAACGACGATTTTTGAAAAAAGGTTTAGTTTCGTTCGTTTTTTCATTTTTCTCATTCATTCATTTTTTCACTCAATCTTTACAATTATTCATCCATTAATTGATTCATTCTATTCATTTATTGATTCATTGAATCATTGATTGATTGATTAATTAATTAATTAATTCATTCATTCATTCATTCAATCATTCAACCAATAATTTATTCGTTTGTTCCTTCGTTCTAACATTCATTTACTAATAAGCTAATAAAAAATTTTCGTCTACAGAATGATCAGAGGTGGGTTGTGGTGGGCGTCAGCCATTTCAGATGGTGGTCTCATGGCGATCGGTCCGTATGCAATTCTAAGATAACAACAATAACAATAAAGACTATTCGATGCGTCTCAGATGATGGTCGGTGCAATGGAGTTTGTGTGAACAAGTTTCTGGAGAATACGCACCCGAACATTTACACACACACACACACACATCAATACAACACACACACACAACATCCATTCATTCGGTGTTGTCGTTGTTATGTTTCTCTTCAACTTTCTACTTTCTTTACCGGACTTTAATTTAATTCGTAGGTAAGTTAGGGATTGAGATGAGTTGAAAAATCGTAGGTAGGCTAGGGCTTAACATTAGTTAAAAAAGTTTCAAACAATTAAATATAATTGAAAATAAACAAAATTGCAAATTAAAAACTTGTAAAATAAAATACCTGAAACGTAGAATTCCTAAAACTTTGAAATACAAATTTGTAGGTGAGATGAGTTAATCATTATAGTTAAGCTAGGGCCTTGAGAGTAATTTAATTGTAGGTAGGTGACCGACTGACTACTATTATTGCTTCTTAGGCCTATTACTATTTTTTGTGATGTGTTTGTTTTCGCTTCACACCATTACACCAACAAAACAAACTATATATTTTTTTTTCGTCGTCGCCTTAAATATTATCTTATTTAACATTCTTGTCAATGTTTAAATGGTATTTCTTGATTTTCTTTGTATTCATGCATGTATAAATTATATTCTGTTTGGTATGTTTTTAATAAATGTTCATGTTACGTGAATTATATAAAGAATAATTATTTTATTATCTGTCGATATTTCGTAATAACATTTGTTGGTTCGAAATGCGAACTTTTTTAAACGTTGAAGTTTTTGAAATTTTAATTTTCCATTATATTGTTCATTTTTGAATGATGTCAAATAAAAGGAACTTTTGTGTTTTTCTTTCTTTACTAAAATCTCAAAATTGCTTGTAGATATGTACGAATGTATGTTTGTCAGCAAATCTTGCTAAGTTTTTTTTTCCCCTTTTTATAATTCATTCGTTCATTTAGTTCATTCGTTTGGTTCATCCAATTTGATTAATTGATTAGCTGATTAATTAATCGAATAGTCAATTGGTTGGATAATTAGTTGATTGATTGAATGATTGTTTGGTAGGTTGATTGATTGATAGATTGATAGAAGTCTGGGTAGATGTGTTAAATATTTCATACCGTGTGTTCGTTAAAACCAACGCAATTTCATAGTAAGCCAATAAGCCAAGCAAGCAAATAGCTCGACTCCTTTTAGACAACCCAAACGCTAAAAGTTAATTTTAGTTAAATGTTAATAATATGTCATTTCTAAATTCAAAATGGTAAGTAGTCGCGAAATTGTCATGAAATCATTTTATTACTAATCAAATATTTGAAACTTTTTCGTTAACGATCTAGAAAGTTGGATTGCAAATTTCCGCCCGATTAGAAAATTGTACGGAGCTGAAAGCTGTCGGTGACGATTTCAGATGGTACTTGAAAGTTAGTTTCACTTTTAGTTGTTAGTTGCGAAGTTTCCGCAACTATAAACTCAAAGATTTTTTTTATTAACTTTCGATTTAACCGATCTGCAGTGATAAACCTTATCAAATTTTGATTAACTATTTTATTTACTTACATGTGTTATTTCAAAAGTTGAAATGCAACCAATGTGGGGATCAAACTTACGAATTTGTCTACGTGGATCTCCTGGTAATTTAACTTCGAATACTCAATTATCATCCTGTTTTACTGACACTGATGTAATTATGAAACTTTATTTATAAAAATACAATACAGAATACCTCATGTTATTTGGCTAAACTGATCTGCTACTAATTCTTATCATAAATCAAATAAAACTAGATCATAAACTTTAGGAAAGTCAGCCATTAAAAGGTGGCCGAGGGTCAGCCTCATTGGTCATCAAGTGCAAGTTCTGCTCTAATGAAAACTCATTAAGTAAATTATTGCTACTGTTTCCCAAAAATTCATTTTAAAAATATTTTGATTAAATTAATCAATTTGATAACTTAGCAAATTTTTTTTACTAACCTTAGATTTACTTAAGGAGTCCTTAGACTCGTATACATATGATGACTGCCCAAAGTACAAAACCATAGTTGTTTTTGAATGTCGGGGGGTCCAGCCCATCTTTTTTGATCCCAGGGTAGAAAAATTATTTCATTTAAAAAAATTCTTTCCTTATTCATGATTCACATTCGAAATGTACCTCCATTTCAAAATAAATTACTCTATATAATAATTAATATAGGTCGGTTGGGAGGTCAAAGGTCTTGAAAGTGGAACCAAATTCTCTGACGTCGACCTATCTCAAGATTGGGCAGATTATGATGAGAAGGCCAAAGATACGGTGGGGGTGTATGAACTGAAATACCAATTTATAAGAATGTAGTGATGTCGATAGTAGAAATATATCAACAATTTACAATGTGGATATTGATGATTAAATATTTATTTAAAAAAAATCTATAAACTTTAGCTGTTTTTATTTTTGATAGGCTCCATAACACTTTTAGAAAAATAAATATAACATATAAATATACATATATATATATACACATATATACATATATATCATATACAAATGTATATAATATATGTATATATATATATATTGATATACGTATATATATATATATATGCATATATTTTTTACAATTTTAAGAAAATTTAGTAACAGAAAATTAGTGAAACGTATATTTGTATGTAAATATAATGTGAACAGATTAACACATACCACAAATAATATAAGAAAATAGAGCGTCAATATATTATTGTTGAGTTCATCTTCACTTTTAAATGATTGGGGAAAGAGTAAGTAAGAAAGAATATATATATATATATATATATATCATATATATATAATACTAACATTATAATATATATATATATATATATATATATATATATATGACCCAGGCATACATAGAATCAAAGTAGAACGTAGATATGTTAAGTCTTTTAAATGCATTTATTCATTTTACAAGCGTGGTTAATGAATATTCAGTGAAAGTGTTAAGAATTAATAAATTACGATATTAATTACTTAATAGTAAATGGAAATATTTAAATTCAAATATTATTATTACTATAATTTACGTTATGACGTAATTACGAAAGTAAGTGTAGTTTTGAATTTTTTGGAAAAAGACTAGCAATGAAGTCAGACGTAATTTGGACAATTCCTTAATGAAACGTATGAAGGAAATATGTAAATAATGAAATAATTAAGACGAAAAATAAATAATTTTTAAAAAATATAATTGTCGTAAAATTATATAGATAGATCAAATAGTCCAAAAACATAAGAGTAGCGACATAGATGCAAAATAAACTTTTGAAAACTTTTCAATGGGCAGTCCGCATTATATGTAGCAACAATAATTATAAAATAATAATTTAATGAAATGATAATTTTATGAAATAATAATTTAATGAAATAATAATCATAACAGTTAATAATAATAATAAATAAGCTTAATAATACTTAGGCAAAAAAACAACTATCACAAAAATAAAATTCAAAGATATTTATTTAAAACACTGATAAACTTTAAAACAAAAATATGCGTAACAAAATACGTGTATGCGTGTATCTATTGTGTGTATGTATGTATTGTATGTATGTGTGTATGTATGTATTGTATTTTTGTATGTACGTATGTATGTATCATTTTTTGGTTGTATATACAATAAAATAAATTTTTGAGTCAGCAAGCAAAAGAAACAAAGGAAAACTAAAGTTCAACAACTTGAAAAAACTGAAAGCAAATGCAAATGAGTGAGTGAAAAAAGGTGAATAAATGATTGATTGAATGAATAATTGAATGAATAGAAATGGATGAACGATTGAATGAATAGAAGACATGGATGGATAAGTAGATGAATGAATATAGTTTTAGTTGAAAGTCTTCCTCTTTTAAATAAAGCTTAACGAAGAAAAGACAAAAACATGATGATATTGAATATACTGAAATGAAAAACAAAACAGAAGAACAAACGAACGAACGAACGAACGAAACTTAAACATGTACAGATATATATATCTAGATACATGAACAATAATTACAGAAGAACAAATTACAAATGACATTTATAAAGATTCACATGCATGCAAAACCATACGCAGCATAAAATAGATAGATATTGATGTATGAAAAAAGCTAAGGCAGAAAAAATTTATGAAAGAATTCGCTGCATCCACACTTGCACACACTCTCTATCTCTCTCCCTCTCTCTCTCTCGCACACACACAGGCATAAACATATACATATATAAACAAACAAACAAACACAAATAAACAAACAAACACACATACAGATAGAAAGCCAGCAATTCCTACCTTATAAGACACAAAAAATGAACTGAAAGAGAACTGAAAAAAATAAAGCTATAGATATATTATATACATAGATATATATATATATATATATATATATTTCTATATATCTATATATAGAAAAACATATATATATATACCTATATTAATCTATATACAAATAAGCTAAACATATATAAGGCACATAATAACTTTAGCATATGTAATTCATATAACACATGCAAAACACCAACACCAACACACACACACACAGGCGCGCGCGCACACACACACACATATATATAAGTTAACATATTTATGTATATATTTAAATATTTATATGAAAAGAATGAATATATGAATGATTAATGAAAAATGTTGTATAGAAAATAATGAGAAATTGTTAATTTGTGTTTGGAAATAAAATAGCTGAAAATTATCTATATATAGGTTATAAGCACATACACATTAAGCAAGAGTTAATAGGTGAAAAAAGGCAAATTAAAATAAATTTGAAAGCCAAAATTGAATTACACGAATAATAATAATATTTAAATTATAACTGTAATAAATTTGCATTGCATTGTATTATTGTAAATGTCATCGTTAACTTTCGAACCGGTACATGGCGACAATACATTTGTGGCGTAATAGAAAAAGCAGAAGATACCATCATGCATACAAATTTATACATACACGCATACTCAAAAAACATACAAATCTTTCTCTTTTAAACATCTGGTCCCATGTTAGTATATGGAAACAGCAATAGACATACTAGTCACTCACACAATTCACACATACAAACATACACATACTTACAAAAATACACACACATACACACGCATACTACTTACAGGCATATATAAAATACACTATAAAAATAAGCTCAACAGATACCAGCTGTAAAACGATATATAGATACTACTCTACTTGAACACGGCTCCATAATGCACCCAAGAAAAAAAATTTAAATTGTGTCAATGTATCTACATACTCTCACGAACACACACACAACCCATATTTTCCAAAATTTAAAGCCATATTCTCAACATTGTTTGAAGCCCAATGCCGGCCACCCACCTCCTCACATCTTCAAGTCGACAGGAATCATCATCTCATGATCCTCGCCACACACTTCTTCACCGTTGTGATCCTCAATGTCTCTGTATGTTATTACTTCTTCTTCGTCATCGTTCCTGGTAGCTCCACACTCTGCATGTCTCATCAGGGCTTCTTTCAATTCCTCCACCCTCCTTGCTGCATCCAGTTTTAATCTCTCCAGCTTGGCATTCTGTTCCTTCAATTCGTCAACTCTGGCGCTCAGGACAGCAATTCTTTCCAATTTTCTGGTTCGACACTTTTGTGCTGCCAACCTGTTTCGAGCTCGTTTCATCTCAAGTCTCTCTGATTCATCGCAGTTCGAGAGGGAGGCAGGTGATGGGCTGTCCCCACTCAAACTGGCTGCACTACTTGTCGATTGCAGTGGTGACGAAGAAAGTAATCGAGGAACTGTTTGTAATGTTTCTTCTGATAATAGCAAGCTGCTGTTGTTGTTGTGAAGGATGTTGTTGTTTATGTTGAACAGGTTGGAGGCATTGTTGAAAAGATTCTTGAGGTTGATGCTTATGAGATCTTTGTCAATTAAGTTCAGCTGGTTGCTGGTGTTGTTGCTGTTCAGATTGGGTGTGGCAGCAGTAGATAGCAAGGATGTCGAGGAAGATGATGATGGTGGCCGAAGTTGTGATGAGAACGATGTTTTGATGAAACTCTGACTACTGCTCACATTAGAATTGTTGTTAGCAGTTACATTAGATGTGACGACCTTGTTAGGGTTGGTGTTTATATTGTTGCTGCTGTTACTGTTGATAGCAATGTTGTTGTTTTGAGCTGATGGAGTTATTGTTGTCACTGTTAAATTGAGAGAAGTTTGTTGCTGAAGTAGATTTTTCTGTTGCTTTTGTTGAATTGTTGAAATTCGATTGAGAAGAGTCTGAGCAGGTGGTAGTGAGCTGGTAGGCGATTTGCTGTTGTTGTTGCCGATGTTGTTCAACTGTTGTTCACTAACACCATTCAACAATCTGGAATTGTAACTGATGACACTGTTGTGGTCGCCATCCATACCCGGACTAAATGTCTTGGCCGACATCAATGTTGTGAATTCATTTTCACAGTTGCAATGGTTTAGTAGTAGAACGTTTCGAGAGCTGGTGTTGATGTCAGTGTCCAATGTTACCATACTACTGTTGTTCAACGGCTTGCCCTGACTTCTGTGTAGTTCATCTAAGGCATCGATGAAGCCCCTTGCATAAGCTTCCTGCTCCTAATTGGGCATAGAATTAAATGAAATTTTAGAGGTCATTATCATTGAATTATGTTTTTAGAATATTTAAAAGGTGAAATTAAATTCTTAAAATATTACTTCAGTGACAGATTTAGGAAACAAAATCTGTGTTGTCGGAGTTAAGGCTGTCACAACAGACCCATCTTGCTGAACAAGCAATCTTTCCAGATCTGGAGAACCCAACTTTATGATTCCCATGTCGACTGGGGCTTGCCGGGATCTCACGTTGTTAAAGTCTAATAAGAAAGATTGCTTGAGATTGATTGCATACGGAAGTGACGTCTGTTCATTTGACATCTGCTCTTCGTACATAGTACGATCCATGTGCACGATACTGCGGAAAAATCCGGCAAGTCAGTCAGTTCATTCAATTCCGATAAAAAATGAACCAGAATATTTTTTGTTCAACTTTTATGTTGAAAAAAATAAAAAATTTAGTTTTAGATGTTGTTATTTGAACGTTGGACGCGTAAAAGCAAAAACAAATACAAAATATTTCAAATTTCACTAATCGATAAAAATAAAAAAATTAGGGCGTCGACGTTACGGCTTTTACGTAAAAATATAACTTGACAGCAAATGAGTTTTACATGACACGAGAGTGAAAAAAATTAATTAAAAATCAAATAATTGGAAAAAAGCAACGAAGCGTCTCAAAAAGTTTATCAAATCGATTAAATTATTTTTACTATTTAATAAAATAATAAAAATAATCCTTTGTTAGAGAAAGTAAGCCACGTGATAAATTTAAATGCATTCATTGGTTGCTCCATATTTCGTTTAAAAGATAACTTAGTCGAACTGTAATCTTGAGCCATGTACATGAAAGATCGGAATGAACATGCCTTTCCAACTGAATTATTTTGAATTAGCGTAGAAATTAACCAAAAATAATATTTTTGAAAATGACAATTAAAATTTGTTTATTGTTTATCACACACTTTTTTAGAAATTAAAAAAAACTTAATTTTTGATAAAGAAAGTGCTATAGATGTCATTAAAAAATTTGCATGCCGTATACAAGGTCGTCGTCTTGTTTCCTTTTAGTTCACTTCGACCTCGAGTTCCCAATTTTTTGTCTTAATTTTCTCCATTCTTAGGGTTAGTTTCGTTTCATTTCGTTTTATTGTTTTTTTTGTATCACTAATTGTGTAGATCTTTCATTTGAACTGCTTTTTTCCAGCATATAATGTCTACGTAATTTTTGTTTTGCTAGTGATATTGACGTGTGTAATAAAAGTTTCCAATGGAATTTTAAATTTTGTTTGTTTAGTGAACTTTGAAGGGAGAATAAGAATTAGTAGAATTAAATTCTATAAGATTTGATAGGTAGATTTTCGTAAACTTTAGTAAAATTGCTTGTTTACAAAACAAAATTGGGTGATGATTTTTTCACTTTAATTTTTTTACCTTCCAAAGAAGTCAAAGCCTAATCAAATCATGCCTATCCCAGCCGGAGACGTTGAAAAAGGCAAGAAACTGTTTGTACAGCGATGTGCTCAGTGTCACACTGTAGAAGCAGGAGGAAAGCATAAAACTGGCCCCAATCTACATGGACTGATAGGCAGGCAGACTGGTTTGGCTTCTGGCTACACTTACACTGATGCTAACAAAAGCAAAGGTACTTACATTTAATAAACCATTTAATGATTTTTCTAAAATTTGTTTAACTTTTTTATTATAAATTTCTTGTATTCAAGGTAACTCTTGTGTGAGACGACTATTATATATTTAACTAATTAAAGTCAATAGTTTTGATGTTTTTGGGCCAAAGACATTATTTTTCTATGATATTTTCTAAACTGATTCAAATTTTTCAAATTTAGGCATAAAATGGACACAAGACACATTATTTGAGTACTTGGAAAATCCTAAAAAGTACATCCCTGGTACTAAAATGATATTTGCCGGCCTCAAGAAAGAACAAGAACGTGCCGACCTTATAGCTTACCTGGAGAGTGCCACTAAATAAATTAATATTCATATATGCGTGTATGTGTGTATATATCAATCTGTCTATATGCAGTATACGACTATGTTATGTATACATACATACATACATATATCGTATGTGGTGCAGCACATATTATATTATTTAATATTGAAATTATATTAGGCGATTAGCTCACACATGCAAATATATCTGTAATGTATTAGTGTATCTTTTTATTTATTTATTAAACAATGTCAAACTGACATGAGTAAAATACATGCATGATCACATATATATCTAAGGAATTATGGTAATTCATAGATAAATTATTTAATTGTAGTTTTGGATAGACGTTAAAAAATTGTAAATGTTATGGTATAGTTAAACAACGGTAATAATGATGGTGCTTGATTCAATTTCAGTTTTATGATGTCATTGTTGCAACATTACATTCATTATACTTTCGTATATGTATGTATATATATATATATATACGTGTATATATATATACATATATATATCTTGCCATAGTAGTAATCATTGTTATAATTATATATTGTTAAAGAATAGGAATATTAATAAATTTTTTAAGTTTAGTTTTTAGTTTATGAAACTAAGACAAAATGTTTTCTTATGTAGAGCAATAATGTTCATCAGTTCTGTTGCATCGTTCCTTTAGTACGTAACAGAAAGATGTCATTGAGGTGTGCCAGTTTAAGAGGTGCGGCTCTCCACATGATTCAATAGATTAGGCACAAGTTCTGACATTGGTCTCGCTCAAGTACTCTTCTTAACTTGAAAAGTACTTTTATAGAAATTTTATTTGTTGGTGAAATACGTTGAGGTTTTTTAAATTTAAAATTCATATGCAATCGCAACATTTTTCAAAATCGTTTGTTTTTAAAAGTTGACGGAGATAAACCGAGATACATCTAGGACGAACGCGGTGTACTTTTAAACACATAATGAAACTTGTCTTAAGCACTGCACGTGTGATAGGCGGGGATCTCTTGGCATTCGAATTCGGTCACTGCCAGAACGTTGCAAGGCACTTTACAATTAGGCCATGGAATCAGCGAACGAATGAAGGACTGCTGTCTTTGCCAAAATATTTTACACATTAATATAAAGTTCTGTTTTTAACTAATGATTTACAATTACAAGATGAAAAAAAATTAAAGGTAAATACTTTCGATTTAGATTCATTCATAATGTTAGTTTTAATTGTTATGTTAACATCATTATTCAGAAACAAAAGTTTAAAAGTGTGTTCAAGTACATAGACACGTATGCGTCATATTTATTATGAAAATCCACAATTGTTCGTCATGCGTTATTAGATGTTATGTATCTGGAGACTAGGTTCTGGTCGGAGTGATTGGTTGATTGAATACATGAATGAATGAACGACTAAATGTATGAATGACCAGATGAATCAATACACGAATGAATGAACGAATAGTTATTTTTAGAATGTTGTTTATTTACGTAAGCTTATGAATTTTTTTTCTTTCAATATTTATTTCACCGTGACATTGGCTCGTTATTTTGTCAAAATGCCATTTATACAGCTGTGCGTGCATCAGCATCACACATGTTTAAATCCTTTCGTTCCTCCACTTTCTCCTTCTACCTAATCATATGTTTTATATTAATGATCCATCTATCCATCCTATCTATCAATCTATCCATCCTATCTATCAATCTATCAATCTATCCATCCTATCTATCAATCTATCCATCCTATCTATCAATCTATCCATCCTATCTATCAATCTATCCATCCTATCTATCAATCTATCCATCCTATCTATCAATCTATCCATCCTATCTATCAATCAATCAATCAATCCATCTTATCTATCAATCAATCCATCCATCTTTTTATCTATTCATTTTGCATGTTATTTTTTTAGCACTTTCAATTTCCTGCCTGACTACGTATGATTTCAATTAATTCTATGATCTTTGATGTTTTCAAGTGTTTGTCTCTCTCTCTCTCTCTCTCTCTTTTTATCTTCCTCTTCTTTCTTTCTCTCCCTCTCAACATCATATCGTCCTATATTTCTCTTTAAATAACCTTCCCATCACTCGACGTAAGCCTGACCGCATGTGCGTGCGTGCGTGTGCGTGCGTATAGTGAAATATGAAAAAAACTAATTAAGAAGAATAACAAAAAATCATTTTCCTGGGGACAGTGAGTGGGTTTTAATCGCTAGGTGGCCATTCTTCTCTAAAGTGTTTGCATTGGTCGTCGCCTTCTGCTGCTGCTGCTGCTGTGGTTTCGTCGCCAGTTTGATCGCCTGCAAGTCGTTAACGTCAGCGCTGCTAATACGTTTGTTGTTGTTCTCATCATTATTATTATTGTTACTATTATTCTTGTTGTCGTTGTCATTGTTGTTATTATTATTATTGTTGTTATCAATTTTCAAGTAGTTTAACAACATTCCACTTTTGTTAAATGATTTACGCCCGTCAATATCATCGTTGTCGTTAATGTCGCTACCACTCATGCTTCTATTGCGGCAGCTACGAATGTTTTCGTTGTTGTTGCTGCTGCTGCAATTGTTGTTATCCGCACAGCTTTCGTGGCAGTTGTTGTATTTATGAAACTTCCCGTTCGGCGTCACAACTTCATCATCATCTATTTTATTATTGCGACACTGATACCTTCGCTTAGTTAGGAACTGATGCGTGTGACGATGTCCACGATTATTATTATTGTTGTAGTTATTATTATTATTATTATTATTATTATTATTATTATTATTATTATTGAAAGGTACATTTCCGCCGCTACTCCAGCGATTCCTGCTGATATTATTGCTGCAGCCCCCACTAGCACTTAAGAGCAGTTGGCAAGTAACTTTTGCCGGTCTCAACCCCACCATGGCTTTTCCGAGCTCGCCGACAGAGTTGAACTTGGCTACTCCGCTTTTTTCCGTCGAATTAACCAAGTGGATACCGGTGTTGTAAGATGTCGACGATACCGGCGATTTGGAGCAGCTCTCGTCGAACCTGCTAACGGTTATTTCGGTTACTTCTCCGCTCCGATTGAAACAAACCGCCCAGCACTTCGGCACATAGAGACAAGCCAGAGTCACACTTGAATTTAGTAATAACGCCATCGCTTGAACGAGAGCTTGGTGATGTGCCTTTTGCGTAGTCAGGTATGACGGGAGGAAGACGATCCAGATGACGAAGGTCGTGTAGACGCAGAGGACTGTGCATCTCGATTCGTTGAAGTTATCCGGTAACGATCGAGTTTTGAATGCGTAGTAGCTGCAGGCGACCACCAGTAGGATGTTGTACGCTAGAGATACCGCTAAACCGTTTATCGGAGCTTGGCAGCGAAACTCAACAATCGGTTCGAGTTTCGGTAATGGCATGGAGAGATCTTCGTTCGGTTTTTCTCTACCGAATAATATTGCTGAAAGGTTTATCAAGACCTGCCGGTGTGCGCGGTTGTGTGGTTTGTGAATGAACTGGGTGTCGGTATTTCGTTTGCTGTTTAATTAATCAAATAATTTTTAACTAATATAAAAAGATAATTACTAAGTTTCCTTCTACTACTATTATCACAACTACTGCTGCTGCTACTACTACTACTACTGCAACTAATTCTGCTACAACTACTACTGCATGCGGCTGAATGTAATAAAACCCCTTAAATTCGTGAGCAAACAAACAATGAGTTTTCTTCAAAAAAATTTGAGAAAATTTATAAATAACAAAACGCGCTTCAGAACATGTTCTTTCCTTGAAAAATAAAAAAAACAAACAAAAAATCCCAAAATAAATAGAAAAATAATTTTAATAATAAAAACACATCCCAGATTGCAGAACGAAATTTAGTAAAACTGGGATGAACGTTTTTAACGGCAAGCCATGCATCAAAGCAGCTCTATGCCCGGCAGTTTTTAATAAGGAAATTTTTTGGGACGTTGTGTATTTAACGCCGTAAAACTTACACACGTATCTACATACGCACACGTACACACAGACACATACGCAATAGAGCGTACAACATCTCATATGTATTTCAATGTGATTATTCCTAAAATGACATTGCAACGTTCATATACACACGTACACTGGTTTAAACACACAAACGTACACACACGTGCACACACACACACACACGCACGCACGCACGCACATACAAACACACATACAAGCACAATTACACAATGGGAGAACACTTAAAAACGCATATTTGCTTAAGTATAATATCGTAGTTAAGCTATTGAAGTTGCAAGGTCTTCACTGAAATAAATAAGAATCATCACTACTACTACTACTAGTACAACTTTAACTATCGCTATTTACTGTTAGCAACAACTACTACTGTTGCTGCTACTGCTACTACCACTACTCCTACTACTACTTACTGCTGCTACAATCATTCATTCTAGTCCGACTTCTACATTACACAACTACACTTGCTACATTACACAACAAGACAGGTTACGACTGCAGTACTAGTGACTACTAACTTGAACGGACAACAGGCAGACAGTGATGAGCAGTTGCGAACACGGGGAGGTCCATTTAGGGGGGCCTAGTCTCGACCTTTTGCCAACCTTGAACAATCTTTAACGACAACCGTAACAACAACAATAACAGTAATAATAATGATAACAATAACAACAAAGACCACAGAAAATTAAATGCAGATGCAACAACATTTCACAAAACAAACAAATACTAAATAAGAACGAAATTACAAAATAAATATCGAAGAAGAAAGAGAGCATAGACGTGCCTGTAAACCCTGTTCGTTCTGACCAAGAGTGGCGCGTAGACGAACGCGAAGCTGACGTTGAAGCCGGCATACCTGACGTAGCAGATCATTTTTGTGGGACTCGCGCAGACGACAAACGCCAGCAGGTACTGACTAACCACCCCAAACCACATCAAGTAACTCAACTCGCGACTCGTGGCCTTGATCAGGCGGTTTTTATTGTGCTTGATGTAAAGGTAGATGATTACGACGCATGTGAACATTCCGAATGTCGATACCGTTACTATTAACAGGATCAGAGGGTCAGTCCATTGTGCAACGGAGGGGGGAATGAGTAGGCATTTTGTTAGGTCGCCGCCTGTGTTTGGCCAGTAGAGGTCTGGGCAAGGTTCACATCTGAAATTGAGTAAAAAATTAAAACATGTCTCGATATTTTTATTACTTTTCATAATATTTCTCCTCAATTGAATGAAACCTAAACAGAAAACAACTGTTTCTGTAGCGTGCAATGTAACGAAAACTTCACTGAAATCAACAACAGCATCAGTCTGAAATCAACCTGGTGGCATTGTGGACGGTGATTTCGTTGGCCGCACACTTCCTGCACTCCCAGCAGCACGCATCTTTCAAGTAGGTGTAAAATTCTCCGACACCACAAGCCCTACCGCAGACGGACACTGGTACTACTTTTTGCTGATTTGTCTGGGGGCCGTCTATCCGGATTTTAGTGATTTTTGTGGCAGTAGATGGTCGGTGGATACTTTTGTTTGCATCGGTCGGGTTTTTTGTCCCGTTTTCGTAGGGTATTTTTATAAAAGTTTGATGAGTTTCGGTTTCATTTTCTTCATGGTCGTCTACGTTGTTATCTCTTGTGTTCCAGAGAATGAGAGAATCATCAATGTCAAGCGTCTGATTGGCGAGATGCCACACGGCAACCCTCTGGCTCATGTAACCGTTTCGACGGGAGGAATTCTTCTGAAAGTTCACTATCTCATATCTGAGAACGATAGTATTTAAGCAACTTATCCAATAAATCTAAACAACAAAATCAGTAAAAAGTGATAAATTGACAATGAATTAGGAACGAATTAAACGATTGAATAAAAACTTGAAAAAAAAAACTACGAACCTCCCTCTGATGTCTCCATTGTTATCAAATCTAATCTCCCCATTGTTACCTATTATACTCGTATTCAGGAGGTAATCTAACAGCTTTGGACCTTTCAAACATCTCAACAGCAAGCCGTGAACATGCTTGGCATCAAACTTTGCATCATCAACATCGTCATTGTCAGCAATGTTTTCGTTCAAACATAGATCTAAAGAGACGCTACTATTGTTTGTAATACTACTTTCAATGTTATCATTGTGGGAAGTTCGATTAACGCTGGCATCATCGTGTGAGCTGAGGTGGCCGAGGTTGGGAAAGTTATTTCTAACATGAAACTGGCCAAAATGTGCCAAATCCGAGCAGGAGTTAGAGATTAGGCGTTTGATGGCGTCGACGAAAACATAAACTGTATCCATCGTAATTGAAAGCGGCTTCTCTCTCGAATAGTCGTAAGTTTCGTTGATCGTCTTGTTGCAGTTGAGATTGCTTGTTGTTGTTGTCGTTGTTGTTGCTGTTGGTTTCTGAGATGTTGTTGTTGCCGTTGATGTTGTTGTTTGGGGCAATGATGGTGACGGCATGAGAGAGGGTGAAGTTTGATAGTGAGAATCGTCTTTGTGATTGTAATGAGTATATTTTTTGTGGCGATGACGACGACGATGTTGTAGTAACGGCTGCGGTTGTTGTTGATGCTGTTGTTGGTAATTTTGTTGTTTATCTTGCTGTTGTTGTTGGTTTAAATCTTGCCACATCTGTCTCAACCAGGGGTTTGAATGAGGGCTACAGGGCGTCAGTGATTCAAAATAATCCAAAAACTTCGGAACACTTTTGGCATATGCCCTTACACTCAAACCACCGACCGCCACCTCCTCGACCCCGTCAAGGTCATCCAGGTTCATTCCCACTCCATCCCCACCCAAAAATGTGAACCGACCAATCAGATCGCGAGATTTGATGGTGCGTAGAAACTGTAATGTTTCCTCTTGGTCAGTTAGTAGCAAAACCACGCCTACTTTTGTATTGACCAATCGCGTAACAATCTGTTGAATTTGCGAATAAATTATTAAACAAATTACGGTTTGAAACAAAATGAATAAATAAAGTTATCAATATTTAAAAAATATAATAATCTATTTGATTGGCTGTTGATAGGCTGAAAGCAATTTAAACTGGTAAAGTAATCAAACAAATGAAAGAAATAATTAGAAGATGTAAACAAATGTGCCAGAAACTCTGTTTAGTTCTTTGCCATCACTGTGCGAAACGATCCCCAAACTAACTCCAACACAAATTGAATTTTTCTCCGCCAAATTTTGAAATTCCTTGAAAGCACTCTCGCCATATCCGGTCAGACTGTAGACAGTGGCCACGTATGTCCAGTTGAAATGCTTCAACAAACTCAAGATGGCCCTCATCTGGTACTGGTTCGGTGGAGACATGCGCATGAAGTAGGGGTATTTACGTTTATCGCTCAACATATCACCGCTGGCGAATGGGCTGCAATGGGGCGGAGTTAAGAAGAATTTGAAGTTAGGCGATTGGTCAATTTGAATAAGTGGGTGGGTTAGGATTAAATTTAAAATAGAAACCTGATCTGGGGCATTGCAATCATGCCCAGCAGCTGGGCCACCGCCATGCTAGATGAACTACTCTCAGCTCCAATGACGCCAACAACGTCAAAAAATTTAAAGTCCTTGCGCTGATTCGGAACGGGAACTGGTTAAAAATAATAGTTATAACATTATTATTAAATATATATAATAATAATAATTATTATTTTATTACAACAACAAACACAAAAACATCATCATCATCAACAACAACAACAAGACAAACTTCTAGCGCCGTCAAGAGAGGCACACTGAACAGGCAGAAAGTGAAGTGCCCTGAGGAGGGCCGTTTCAGTTTTGGCGCAGTCGTCTACTATCACCACCCCCAGCTTTAGGTTTCCTGGAAGCATCTGTTTCCGGTTGACCTCGTTAACTGTAAATAGGACGGCCTCAACAAACTGAACTGAGCTTGGATCTCTGAGTCTTGATGATGGTGGTAATAGTGATGATGATAGTGATAATAATAAAATTAGCATAAATTAGCATTTTTAATTTGAACATACCTAGGTCCGCAGAGTTTAGAATCACTACGCTCGTTCACTGACAGGATGACTCCTAGCATTATGTCGCCTTCTATAATTAGCATCTTTTCATCATCATCAGCATCAACATTGTCGTAATCATTACCATCACCAACATTATTACTTATATTATAATTATTACTATTACTGCGTTTATCGTCGCCGGTGTTTCTCAAACTATCGTCAGTTAAGTTAAATAAGTCAAATCCATCATCCATATAATAAACATTGTCGTCATCAACGTCATCAACAACAACGTCATCATCTTCATCATCATCTCCATCTCCATCATCATCATCAGCAGCAGTAGTAGCAGCAGCAGCAGCAGTAGTAGTAGCAGCAGCAGCAGTAGTAGCAGCAGTAGCAGCGTCGTCGTCGTCGTCACCGTTATCGCCAGCGTCGTTCGTTTTATTAATTGTAGTTGGAGTGTTTGTTGGAGGAGGGAAATTAAAAGCATTATAACACTTGTTATTTTTTCTATAATTCTTTTTAATAATATTTTTAATATCATTGTTGCCACTACTACTACTACTGCTACTACTACTACTACTACTATTAATATCGCTACTACCACTACTACTACTACTATTATCATTTACCGTATTTCCGAAAAAATTGTCATGAATACTACTACTACTACTACTACTACTACTACTACTACTGCTGCTGCTGCTGCTACTTCTACTACTACTACTACTACCTTTAGTATTATTTATTTTATCATTACTATCATCGTAATTATCGTAAATTATTTTTAAGTTATGCCGACTTGTAATCGTGCTGTATGAACTCTGATTACTTCTAGAATGTCTACTCAAATGACTGTTGTTATTATGATGGTTATTATTGTTGTTAATGTTAGTATTATTGTTATTTTTATTGTTGTTATTGCTGATATTACTCTGGCTGTTAGTGTTCCCATTGTTCTCGGAATGGTTTCTAGGAACTGTTATTGTAACATATTGAGGTGTCGTCGCTCGCTGAAGAGTTATGTTGTTTATAGATGGAAGATTGCGATGATTTTGTAATTGTTGTTGTTGTTGTTGATGTTGTTGCTGTTGATGTTGTTGTTGTTGATGTTGTTGTTGTTGATGTTGTTGTTGTTGATGTTGTTGTTGTTGATGTTGTTGTTGTTGATGTTGTTGTTGTTGATGTTGTTGTTGATTTTGTTGTTTGGTAGGCCTGGCCTCATTAATAACAATACTAGAGTAATATTCTTTAAAATAATTATTATTATTATTGTTGTTGTTGATGTTGTTGTTGTTGATGTTTTTATTACACGTTGTGATGGCCATCTTATTTATCATCATTGCCTTCGTTTCAGTTGCTAACTGTGTTGATGTTGTTGTTGATGTTGTTGATGTTGTTGTTGTTGTTGATGTTGTTGTTGTTGTTGATGTTGTTGTTGTTGTTGATGTTGTTGTTGTTGATGTTCCCAACATCCTTGAGAAGAAAAGTAATAGAAATGACAAGCTAAATATTACGCCGTTGGCCATATTTTAATTAATATTATTAAAAATTATTATTAATTATTGATAATTATTATTACAGTAATTTAATTATTGATTCTTTTTTTACTTAGTTAACGTAAAAAAAAATTTTAAACTAAAAATTTTGATCCAAAAATTTGCCTCATCATTTTCCCTAAGTATCCCATCCATTACTACGTACGATACTCCAGCTTCACATCACTATGTGTGTATATATATATATAAATGTATGTGTATGCATGTGCGTGTGTCTGCGTGCGTGTGTATGTGCGTGCGTGCACTCTTATTTATGTATATACAATATATAGTGTGTGTTTGTATTATCCGTATTGTATATATATGTATATATATTGTGTACATTTATGTAAGTATGTGTGTTTGTAATAATATGTGTCTATGAATTTGTATATGTATGTGTTTGTATGTGTGCGTGTGTTTGTGTGTGTGCGTGCGTTTGTGCGTGAGTTTTTGTTTGTGTGATTTTTATATTTAAACAAAACCAGCAAGACGAGCATAATTTAACTAACATTTTATTGGCACACTTCGATTTGGAGAGAAACTTTTTCTTTCAAAAAATGATCACGTAGACAGGATGGGCAAAAAAGACAGCAGGGATAGAGAGAGAGAGAAAGAGAGAGAGAGAGAGAAAAAGAGAGAGAAAGAAAGTGTAAGTAAAAGAAAAAAACCAAAAATATATTATTGCATAGATTAATGATAAATGGAAGAAAGGCTAAGTAGACATCATTAAACAAAAAAATTTTGATAGAGAAGAGAGAGACAAAGAAAGAAAGAAAGAAAACAGACAGAGACAAACAGACAAACAGACAGACAATTCTATTTATTATTCCTAGAAAAAAAACGCCAAAAAAACACGCAAACTATTACACGATGGATACAAAAATTTTAATGAAAAAAGTAAAAAAAGATGACAAACGAAAATTTATATCCGTTCATTCTGAATGCGTTTTTATACACTATCACTTTATTTCGCAATCAACAACAACATCATCATCATCCTCATCATCCTCCTCCTCCTCTTCCTCCTCAACATCATCATTGCAATTATCATCATCATCATCATCTTGGTCGTCGTCATCATCAGACCCAGTATTGGTTACTATGGAGCACTGGTGTCGTTTTTCGGCAGTGCTCTAGCAGTTCCGGGTCCAAATTTTCCCACTTAGATTTATTGTTATTATTGTTGTTGTTGTTGTTGTTGTTGTTCTCCCCAGCAATATCGTCCCTCTTCTTTTCGCCACTTTCATTCTCTTGTTTCGACTCGCTTTTCTCGGCCCTTACATTATCCATATTATTTTCTTCCTCTTTATAATTCTGGTTATTATTATTATTGTCATTGTTATTATTATTATTATTATTGTCATCGCTACTGCATGGTTGTGCTTGTGCATTGGTGTATATGGGCTCTCCTCTCAGTCTGTGTTCTCCTTTCAATGTGTTATACTTTTTCACCGGTACCAACGGCTTGCCACTGTCAGGACAGGCGGAAAACTCGGAGTCGTGATTACCATTTTTGTTGCTGCGTTCGCCATTTTTGTTGAGGTAGTCGCCATTTTTGTTGTGCTGAATTTGCTGCCTCCTGTTGAAGTCATTGTCAGGAGTGTTTTGTGGTGTTTGAGTTGGTTTTGTTTTGTTGTTGTTGTTGTTTATAAAATACTCGGCGCCATGTTTCTTCTGCGGTATCTCTTGTTTACTCGCGTTTAAATTACCGCCGATCTGTCGCATGGCCGATGGCGACGACGACGACGACGATGCTGATAATGATTTCTGTTGTTGTTTTTGTGGTTGTTGCTGTTGTAGTTGTTGCTGTTGTTGTGGCTGTTGTGGTTTTAGTTGTTCGTCTCTTTTTAACGCTACTGCGTACAGTTTTCTCTCATCGCTTTTGTTCTTACTATTATTATTATTATTGTTATTATTGTTGTTGTTACTCGTGTTAACTGAGTTGGGTGCTAACTTAACACTCTGACCAATATTAGTGGCCAGTGTAAGTTTCTCCCTCTGTTTCCTTCTGTAACACTTATAAGCCAAGAAAGCTATCAATATAAACAACAGCAACAAAAATGCGACGGTAAATATGGCGATTCTTTTTCGATTGTTATCCGATTCGGTAGCTTCGTCGGTATTTTCATTACTAGGCTGAACGGGGATGCTACTGCTATCGTCGGTATTATCGTCATCATAGACGGATTTTTCCGAGTTCGATTTCGTCGAGTTGGTTTTGAAAATTTTTGTTTGGGAAGGTGTAGTTGTTGAGGTTGTCGTTAATTTAGTGATGGGCTGTGGAGGCGGTATATCGATATCGATTTCGAATATACCGATAGCCGGTTGCGCGCGAGGAGCCTCGAGGATGTATTGGAATGAATCTTTTGTTATTTGCTGTTGTTGATGGTTTCGGCCTACAGAATTTCGCATATGTCGATTTTTTTGTTGATGTTGTTGTTGATGTAGTTGTTGTTGACGCTGTTGTTGATGTTGTTGTTGATGTAGTTGTTGACGCTGTTGTTGTTGTTGTTGATGTTGTTGTTGTTGTTGACGTTGTTGTTGTAGTTCAACGGTATAAACAACATACTCTAATCTTTCGTTGACTAGATCACTATGCCTAAAAATCAAGTAAAACTTCTCATCTTCATCATCATCGCCATCATCATCAACATCACTTTCTTTTTTATAATAATCATCTTTTTCTTCCTCTTCCTCTTCTTCCTCTTCCTCATCATCTTCATCATCATCATCGTCGTCGTCATAATTCTTAAATACGTCATCGTCGTCGTTATCGTAAGCATAATTATCAACTTTAACATAATTAACGTTACTACTACTACTACTACTACTACTACTACTACTACTTCTACTTTTACTACCACCACTACTACTACTATGACTACTAATACTATTATTAACATTATTATTATTATTGTTGTTGTTGTTTTTATTATTTTTATTAGGTTTCTTATTGTTAGTATATTTAAATTCCTTGGTAATCATAGCCTCACTTATGGAATTGTAATCAGATACGACGACGGTTGAATATTTCGAGATTGTAGTAGCAGTATTTTTAACCTGATCATCATCGTCATCATACTCGATCACGTGATTATTATTATTATGATTATGATTATTATTATGATTATTGTTATTATTATTATTGTTATTGTTGTTGTTGTTGTTGTTATTATTTTCGTCGTATTCGTCACTATCATTATTGTCGTCGTATGGGAAGTCATCGTGGTCGTACGTTATATACTCGTCATCAAAATTATTATTATTATTATTATTATTATCATCATCAAATTTATTATTATTATTATTATTATTGTTGTTGTTATTATTATAAATCATTTTATGCTTATCATTTATCACGTTTAGAATGTTCCTTTTTGATTTCATCGCTAAGCCACTGCTAACTGTATAATTATCGATATAATAATTATTACCACCGTCATAATTATCTTCATTCCTCTTCGATCTCTTCATCATCCCATCCTTCCATCCACCATTTCTTCTTTTATTATCTCTCAATCTCAGTTCGCCCATCGTCGGGGGAAGGATGACTTTAAATGCTGGATCAGCATTCAGAATGGCAGCCAGTGCACTTGAGTCCATATGCTTCGTCGTTATTTTCCTGCTCTCTCCACGTTTCAAAGGCTCGTAATTACCCATAATTTTACTATTATTATTATTATTATTACTGCTACTATAATTATGAATAT